TCTCTCTCTCTCTCTCTCTCTCTCTCTCTCTCTCTCTCTTTAGTAAAAACAAAATGTTTATTATTTCGAGATTTTTAGCGATAAAAACAACTTATAATCTCCTAATAAATAATTTATGCCAACAAAACATATATATATATATTTTTAAACATATATATATATATATACATATAATAATATAATAAACTATCATAAGATTATTTTTAGTGTATATATACTAAAGTATAATATATAAGCTAAATGTATATTTGGCTATATTTACACAATGTTTACCCATAATTTTTATCGTTATTTTTTTCAACTTTGATACTCTTATTATTATGATTATTATTTTAACATATTTTTGGTCAAAAATAACATATTTTTAAATATCATATATATATATATACATATATTGGACCATCTATTGTTTGCACATTATTTCATTATCACTATTTTAACTAATAGGCTAACTGTATGTATATATATATATATTTTGTTTACTTGTTTATTACAATTATTATTATTATTATTATTATTATTATTATTACAGTCCAATCAAACATTAAACATAAGAGTGAAAAAAAAAATTTTGTTTTTGACATTATTTTACACTATTTGTTGATTAAATATTTAGACTGTACTATCAGTTCCCCTACAAATATAGACTATTATTATTATTATTATTATTTGGATATTATATTTTTGGGTAAGTTTTTAAATGCGGAAATATATATATTTTTTTAATTTTATTTTTTGTTGTTGTTGTTGATTTGTTTATCTATTATAACAATTTAAAAATTATATAAATCTAATATATATATAAATTGATATTTTATTTTTTTATATAAACTTGTGTTTATAAATAATTTTCACAACTGATTCGTTATTATTGTTGTTATATTAATTTAATTAAATTTGTTATGTTATGACAAAATGTTATTACAGTACTATACTTATCACTGATAATAAAAATAGGCTATTACTTGACATTATGATATTGTTAAAAAAAATATATATATATACAATAAATATACCATTAAATATGTGTTAAATTGGAGGCACCCATGCATATGTGGGTGGATGGAGGGGGTTCCCATGTAGTTTTTTTTTATTAAATAAAAATGTATATTTAGTATATACCGTATATATATATCATATATATGAACAATAGCTTAGACATTATGTAGATAATAATAAATTACTTTTAGATAAAATTATTTTTATATACATACAACATATTGAATATATATATATATATATTATCAATATATAAATTAAATTGAAATTTATTTTTGATGTCATTTTATATTTTATTGCCTTTAAGTTTTCACAAGTGAACTAAAACAGGCGTTTTTGTCTCTCTGTATGTATGGATGTGTGAGTGTGTGTGTGTGTGTGTGTGTGTGTGTGTGTGTGTGTGTGTGTGTGTTGTCAATGAAAATAACAGTTTTTATGACATCGAAAGGTTGCACTTTTCGTGTCATTGCATTTGACTATACGATTAGACCCATAATAAGGGCCACACAATTTATACATACATACAGTACATACCAATTGCATATATACTTTATATATATATATTTATTTTGAGCCCCGAGTTTGTCATACAATTTTCGGTAGAGAGAGAGAGATCAGTTTATGAATGAGTCAAACATATATATAAATGTTATAATATATATAACTGACCATTTGGTATGAAAAGATGCCCATTTGGATGCCCAGTGCCCAGTATAGTGCCCAACACTGGTATCATAGTCTCTCTCTCTCTCTCTCTCTCTCTCTCTCTCTCTCTCTCTAACAGTTCACTGCCAACAGTGACCATTGAGATTGACGTCCGATACGACAAACACGAGACACCAGACACGAGAACTATTAAATATTCTCCCCTAACATAACCTCTCTCTCTCTCTCCCATTCACTCACCCACTCACTCACTTACTTTCACTCATTGACTTTTTCAATGAAAAATTGCTTTACATTTGCATTTCAAGTCAAATAATATAGTTTTAACCAAATACTAAACATATATACACACAATAGTTGGATATAAATTATTGTTACAAATAATATATATATATATAGAAAACGCATTGAGAGAATCGGTTTTTATTGCTTATATAATTATATACAATGTATTATATATGTATATATATATATATTGAATCAATATATATACAGTATATATAGATATATATATATATATATATACAAACTTTTAGTGGTTATTATTGCCTATTATAATATTTATTTAAATAGTCTGACAATGATAATGCTGTATATAAGAGTTATATATATTTTTAGTATAATGTAATTATTTTTAAATGTCATAAATAATAATAATTGTTTAAATATTAATAAAATCATTTTTTTGTTGTTTAATATATATATATATATATTTTTTAAAAATACAAGCTATTTATTAGCTATGGCTATATAATGTTACAAATATTTAATTAATCCTAACTAAATAATTGTGTAATTAATTTTGTTTGTTTTTATGTATTTTTAAATAAATATATATATATATAATTATATTGTATACCACTCACTATGCAATTTAATTAGATTTTGTCAAAATATACTGTATATATATATACAGTAAATGATATTTTTTTTAATTAAAATATTTTTATTTAAATTGCAATATTGTTGGTATATATATAAAGTTATATATATTTAATAAATATAAGCAACATAAGTTAGTTGCAGCCAATTGTCAATAACAGTTGCAATAATAATAATAATAATAATAATAAATGCCAAAACTATAAGAGATTAATAAATACAGTTACGATGATGAGTGTCTACTACTAAGTTACTATTACTGTACTAACTGTGCTGTATTACTACTACTACTACTACTAAACTGGTAGTATATTTGTGATAAAAATATTGATCTATCAAAATGGAGAAATATATTGATGTATATATATATATATATATATAACTGTATATAACTTTATATGATGAGGAAAATATTGTAGTGCAATGTTGCTATTTGTTGATTAATAATTGGTGGGCGCAAAAAAACAACATAACATAACATAACATTATATTATATATTTTTAGATACAGAATCTAAATGTTATACTACCAGTACTATTACACATACGTTATAATTATATGACTACTCTATGTGTGTGTGTGTGTGTGTGTGTGTTGTTAGCCCATAGACATACAAATTAATTGATGAACAGTTATGCAACCAACAAAAAAAAACATATAACAGTCCTCTCTTAAAGACAAGAAAACATTTGTCTACTAAACATATGATATATAATATATATATATATATATAATATATTTTAGGCCGTCTTTTCTCAACCTTGGCTTTGCTGTTTGGTGTTTGGCTTTGACCGACTATTTTTAGGGTCGTCTCTCTCTCTCTCTCTTTCCTAATGCTCTAACAATTTGTTGTAATATTGATTTTTTTCTCATCTTTCACTCACTGTTTTTACTCTTTGACTACAACTACTACTACTACTACTAGTAGTAGTCGTAATAGTGAGTGAGTGAGTGAGAGATACAAACACTTTGTGAGAGTCTGTATTTTGAGTCATAGACATACAGCACACACACACACACATGAAAGTGAGTTTAATAGTAATACATCAACAAAATTGAGATACCAAATGAAACAACAGTGTGTGTGTGTGTGTGTGTGTGTGTGTGTGTGTGTGTGTCTGAGTGAGTGAGTGAGCAAAAAATAAAAATAAAGGGGTCTAACAGTTAACAAGCCATCAGCCGTTTCATAATTCCCTCGATGATGACATTAGCCACTAGTATTGTTGTTTACCAGACATACTGTATATATACCATTCCTCTAGAAGTCTCTCTCTCTCTCTCTCTCTCTCTCTCTCTCTCTCAATACAATTTACACACACAAACAAACACTACTAGTTTTCATCAATGTTTTTACTCATACACTATAACCATACCGTCCATCCATACCGTTGTCTCTCATTTTTTTCTCTATCCTTTTTACTCTTTACTCTCTCTCTCTCTCTGTCGACTGTTTTCCCCCCTTTACTCACTCATATGAGTAACTCTCTGAGTCCACACACACACACACACACACACACACACACACACACACACACACACACACACACACACACACACACACACACACACACACACACACTCACTCACTCACTGTATTAATAGTATTGATTGTCTTGTTGTTAGTCATCATCTAATGCCCACTAATTAGGACACAAAGGATTTGTTTTATGTCTGTCACTCACTTATTAATGTCTAATCCTTTTTGGGTTATCTAACTCTTACTGTCTCTGCTCTCTCTCCTCCCGACTCTCTCTCTCTCTCTCTCTCCCGACTCCTGTCTCTCTCTAATCCTCTCTTTATTTTTTTTGTTGGCCAAAAACAGCCACTATTTCAGTGGACTCTCTCTATCTCTATCTCTCTCTCTCTCTCTCTCTCTCTCTATCTCTCTCTCGATGTCTTTGCAGTCAATTTTCACTTTTCTTTGGGCGTCAGGTTTTCTTCTTCTTTATTATTATTATACAATATATTTATATATATATAAATACTATACAATATTTGCTTAACATTTGCCATATACTACTGTGTGTGTGTAGTAAAGGGTATATTAAATTAGTATCTGTATTAGAAATAGTTATAATAATAATAACAGCAATAATAATATTATTACCCACAAAAAAAATCAATAAAATATTTGTTTTTAGCCATTTCTTACCCTTTTTTATATTTATATATATATACAATATATGACTGGTCTCTCTCTCTCTCTCTCTCTCTCTCTCTCTCTCTCTCTCACTCACTCACTCACTCACTCACTCACTCACTCACTGACTCTCTGTTCGTATAAATAATTAATATATTCATTAATCATACCATAGTTTGGTTTGTTTGTCACGTTATATATATATATATATATGACATATCTGTCATCTGATAATTAGTTTATTATATTATTATATATATTTTAAAATATATAATAATATATTTTATTCTCAATGTATTTATATAATTAAGATGTGCAGCTCCTGGGCTCTCAGTGATTTACTATTGGTATATACTGTATATATATATATATATATGATTATAATGTTATTGTTGTTGTTGTTATTGTGTGCATATGCGTGATAATTGTGAGGTCATAGTGTAGAGATGAGAGAAAGGGATGTGTAATACTAATGTAGAGTAACAACAACAGAGAGAGAGAGAGAGAGAGAGAGAGAGAGAGAGATCGTAAGGTCTGTCATATCATAGTCACACAGAGTGAGTGAGAGAGAGAGAGAGAGAGAGATAGAGAGAGAGAGAGAGAGAGATGACCATAGAGTGAGAGAGAGAGAGAGAGAGAGAGAGAGAGAGAGAGAGAGAGAGATGACCATAGAGTGAGTGAGAGAGAGAGAGAGAGAGATGACAACAATAAATCCATAGACTAAAGACTAACAACAGTAGTACTAAAGTTTGGTTTAGTTTTTGTGAATCTCTAGAGTTAATCATAAGTGCAGATATATATATACACACAGAATATATATATATATATATATATATATATACAGAATGTATACATATATATATATAAAGGCAGTAAAACAGCACTTAATGGACAGTCAGCTTTTTGATGCGTTCCTCTCTGTCAGTGACCAATAGAGTTGTGTTTTATATGGATGGGCGATGCCTTTCACTCTCTCCAATCCAGTTAGCTATGGGAGGAAGTGATAGGAGGGATAATAAACTACTACTAGTAGTGTCTTTCAGTATGTATGTGTGTGTGTGTGTGTGACACACATTGTATGTATTTATATATATATAACACTACTACTATATGTATGTGTATGTATGTATGTATGTATGTGTGTGTATGTATGTACAGTATGTTTTGTATACAGCAGTTGTATTTTGCTATTTAAAAACACACATACAGTCAGTGTATACACACACACACAGGCATGTGGTTAACTGAAAACAGTTTACATTATATGTTATAAGTTTTACTCTCTCTCTCTCTCACTCAAGTTGTGTGTGAGTGTGTGTGTGTGTGTGTTATGTTATGTTAATATAAATTATATGTATATATATTTTTGGTTATTTTTATAAGATTTTTGAAAGAAAAATGAGTTTCTTTTTTTGTGTGTATGTTTTGTTTAGATTATAATAATAAAGTTTTAACGACTTAACACACAGTTTGATATATATATATATATATATACATTCAGGAGTAGAAAAATTGTTTTAATTCAATCAATGCTATCATAAATTATGTTACAATAATTATTATTATTATAATAATATCCATAATATTTATAATAGAGAGAAAAACTTCTGTGTGTGTGTTATAAACTCTCTCTTTTATAAACAACAAAATTTTTCAGCAAAAAAAATAATATATAAAAATTTTGTTTCAATCAAAAATAACTTTAAACTTATTCACACCAAAAAAATATTCACACATTTAAAATATATATATATATATAGAAAAATATAATTTTTATTTATTTATGTTTTTTTTCAACCAAATAATTGAGAATTCCTTTTTTAAAAAAAATATTCTGTGTTTTTATTAATAATACTGTAATAAACTATTATATTTATATATATATATATAGGAATTGTGTGCACAATATAAAAGTGATCGACAAAAATGCATAACAATATGAATATGAATTCTGTGACTAATAATAATAATAATAATATTAAGCAACAACTGATGGCACGTAACGATCAGATACTGAATCTGAAACTAGAATCCAATAGCAATGTCGAGGAAGTATTTGACGACGAAGTCATCAACAATAACGACGATGAAGATGAAGAAGTCGATGACAACGACAACGACAACGATGACGACGACAACAACAGTCTGATAGACGATAGTATGGACGACATCGACGACGACGACAACAATTCTCTACCGTCGCCGCCGTCCGACACTCATATATACGGTACGTCCTATCTATCCAATGAATCCGTTGACCACCATCACCACCGCAACAACAACGGCGGTGTACATCATCATCAGCATCGTCACCACAAACATCACGAAGATATGGTCAGCGAAGGTTCGCCAATGATGGGACCGTTAGCCCAGTTGCAGAATGCACTGGAAAGGCATTCGGGAATGTTGGGCATGAATTTACCGGATTTTACCTCAACCACCAACGGTACGACACCGTCGATATTCAGCTATTCCAGCGATTCAATGAATCACAATCTAATGTTGGGTACGCCTACGGCCATCAATATGGACAACGATATTACCGGCGAACTATATCGTTGTCATCTATGCTCCTATTCGGGTACATCCAAGAGTCAATTTGAAATGCATATGAACACACATTTTGATCATAAATGTCCGTTTTGTGACTACACCTCACGTACGGAGGGCCGACTCAAGCGACACGTACGCGATTTTCATTCGGAAGTACCGCCGGACAGTTGGGCCGGTAATCGGGTACTGAAAGAGAATAGCCTGCAAGAGGGCGGCGGCGGCGGCGGTGTTGGCGACGACAGCCATAACGGCGACGACAGCGACGGCGGTCTGAATGGTAGCGGCAGTGGATCTAAGTCGAGGAAATACAAGTGCAAACAGTGCGAGTTTGTGGCCACTTGTAAACAGGAATTCTGGGATCACTCCAAAGCACACATCAAATCGGAGAAGCTGTTGACGTGTCCGAAATGTAATTTTGTTACCGAATACAAGCATCATCTGGAGTATCATTTGCGTAACCATTTCGGATCCAAGCCGTTCAAGTGTGCCAAATGTAACTACAGTTGTGTTAATAAATCAATGTTGAATAGTCACATGAAATCGCATTCAAATATCTATCAGTACCGATGCGCCGATTGTAGTTACGCTACCAAATATTGCCACAGTTTGAAACTGCATTTACGGAAATATCAACATAAACCGGCCACTGTACTCAATTTGGACGGTACGCCCAATCCGTATCCGGTTATCGATGTCTACGGTACCCGACGCGGTCCACGGCCAAAGAAACCCAAACATGGCAACAAAGCCGGCACCGGTGGTGGCGGCGGCGGCGGCCAACAAAACAACAACAGGTCATCGCTAGACTCGTCATCACTGCCCCAAACACCGATTCAGTCACCGATATCGCCAAACCTCCTGAACGTTGCATCCATTCCGCCATTAATACCCGCATCGATGGGACCGATGGGTCTGCCGTTTATGTATTCATCCAATCCGTCGTCGCTCATCCATAACGGTCTGTTAGGTTCGCCGGCAATGACGCAACTATCGCATCAAATGTCGCAATCATTGTTTGATATGTCAATAGGCGGTGGCGTCGGCGGTGGCCGACCGAAATCAGTCACTTCACCGAATGGTAATGAAAACTATAGTCAATCGCCAACCGATCGCCAGACAAATAGTAGTAATAATAATAATAATAAACTGAAGTGTAATTTCTGTGATTTTACGGCCGAAACTCGCGATCTGTTTGGCAAACATTTGTTATTACATGTGGCCGCCGAAAACCAAGACATGTGTAGCCGAATGTACGGTATGACTGGCCCGACAAGCGCCGCCGACATTGCCCATCAAAATGCAATACTACAGGAATTGACGGCCAGACAGTCGCCCGATTCCCGATATCTGTTCGAACAGATTACCGCCAATCCGGCTCTGGTCAGTACATTACTCGGAATGCATTCACTGCCCAACAAATCTGATCAGCAATTGTTGGCCGCTTCGCGGGACTGGCACTCGTCGTCGCAGTCATTGTACGAATCCATTGGTGGTAGTATTCATCAGCGAAAGGCAATGACACCGCCGACGACGACAAAAGATCACCAGTCTATGGCCACCAACGATAGTACAGCTAACGTACGATCAGAGTCGGCACCTATCAGATCAAACACAAAGAATGAGCTATTATTGTCGTCGTTGTCGTCATCAGGAGGACTGTCACCACTTCATCCCCGATCGCGAAGTAGTCCATCAAATTCATTGGAGTCATCCATCGAGTCGACGATGACTGATAGGCATCATAATCAACAGCAACAACAACAACGCAAGCATTTAAGTAGTCATTCAGAGTCATCAGCGGCGGCGATACCGCTGGACTTGTCAAGCAATAAAAGTATGTCTCCATTGGGAGGACAACAGTCAATCATCGATACGAAGACGACACTGTTTTTGGCGGCGGCGACTGCGGCTCAACAATCGCCAAAAAATCGGTGTCAATCATCCACTGATGAAGACAAGACAGCAGATAACGAGTCATTAAGACAGGGAATGGGAGGCCTAGGAGGAGGAGGAGGAGCAGTGAATCAAACATTAGCCATCAAAGACTATCATCCGGAACCACAACCACCACAGCAACAGTCAAGAGCTCAACGGCGAAAAGGACGGGCGTCTAAGCTATACATAAATCATTGTATTAATGGCGATGACGACGACGACAGCAATGATAATCATCATAATCATAATGATGGTGTTGTCGTCGATGATAATGACAATGATGATGATGATCGCCGACACCGACTACTACTATCATCAGTTGAAGAACGTATTATTATTGGTAGTGATCCAGAAATTTGTGTCGACAGTAGCAGCAAAAAACAGCAGCAGATGAACAACAATGGCCACAACAACAATGAAGAGCCACAAGTGGACAACATTATCACCAAAATCAATAGCGCAACACATCTACTCCAAGAGATTCTCGTCGATATGTATTCATTAAAGAATGATAATTATCATTAAAACAGGAGATCCATATATTACTACTACTACTACTACTACAGCTGCTGCTGATGATGATGGTTCTGGAGGTGGTGTGTCTAATCTCTGATCCAATTACCCCCCCCCCCCCCCCTAACCCACTCTCACCCCTGCCTACCCAACCATCTCTATCATTCTCTTTCTCTTAAAATATTTTTTATCATAAGATTAGTTTTTTGCAGACATAATGATATATATATATATATATATATTAATTATATATATATACCGTAATAATTAATGGCTAATATACCAAAAAAAAAATTAAATCAGTGTTGTTTTACCATTAAAATTGAATTCAATTGAATCCAATCAATCAATCAAATCAAATCAAAATCATTTTCATATGGAAAACATAATGATTACTAAATAGCATACATATCTCTATTGTATTATTAATATTATTATTATTTTAACAAACAAACAAAAATTATTTTTAATTTTTAAATTTTGTTTCACATAAAAATCATGTTTCATTAGCCAATCAATGAATAAATAAATCAACAAAAATCATAATTATTTTTTTTTTGGTAAACTAATAATAATTACAATAAATACTAATAATAATAATAACATTTATAATAATTTTTGTACATTACATTTGATTTTGTTTGTTTTTTCTCTAAAAAAAAAAATATATTATTTTGCAATATTAATAATTATAATTACAAATTTTTTATGTAATCTATTGATACAACACATTGACAAACAAATAAAAAATAAATTTAAATACACTACTAATTAATAGAGTAGTCCCAATTAAATACCAATATATATATATATATTAATACATACAATATATATATTTAGTAATATGCAATAAGAAACTAAAATCAAAATAAACAAAAAATCAAAAAATTTTATTTATAACATTAAATAATAATAATTACAAATATTTATAATTTTTTTATTTAAAAAAAAATGTAATTTAAATTTTTGAAATGCCCTATCAATTTATCAATGTAATACAATAATTTTATTGATATTATTATTATTATTATAAATTATTGATGATGATGATAATTTTTTGTCTATAAAAATAACATATACAGTATATATATATATATATCTATTGAGAAAAAATATTATTAATAATTAATATTATTGTATAAATTTTTATTTTTAAGTTTACTTACAAACTAAACAAACAACAAATTTTTTTAAAAATAGTCATTTGGTTTAATTTAAATGTGATTCACATATCAAAACAAATTTATTATATTTAAAATAATGCTATAATCAAAAAAATATTATTATTATTATTAATTAATTAATTAATGATAATAATAATATTTAACAAAAATAATAAAATCAAAATATTTATATGTAATTTGTATTTACATTACGTTGAATATATTAAAAAAATAAATAATGATATGATATATATATATGTGACATATTGTCGTCAATTAGTATTTATTTAAATAAATAATTTTTTAAATTAATTTATTTATTTTATTCAATTAAACTAAAATTATATTATTATTATATATGTAAATCTTTATATATAAAAAAAAATCTCTAACAAAACAATTTATTATTATATCAACAAAAAAAAATTATATTACAGTAAAATCTAAATAATTTCATCCAAACAACTAATTATTGAATTGCTTAAAAATTTTTCAAATTCATAATTATTATCAATTGTTTGATTATTATTAAGTGATTCATTGAGACGACTAATCACTGAATCTTTGGTAAAAGGAGTTCCCACTAAATCCAGTCTTGTTTTGAATTCTTCGCCCAACAATACTAAGCCGTCAATCATACCATGAATTACATGTATTTCCATCAAAAATCGGCTGTTTTGCCAACAAAGTTGACGATTAACTTGAAATTTAGGTGTTTTACCATAAATCCATTGCCAACTTCTTAGCGATTCTTCAATCTGATTGATTCCCGGATATAAATCTTCATCGTTGTCGTCATCGTCGTCGTCGTCGGCAGCGATTACTTCGGTAAACGGATAACTTGTGCCACTTGTCTGGTTGAAAAAAAAGTGGTCACAAAATACCGGTAATTATTATATAATATTAAACACAAAAAAAATATTTTACCGAATTTGTGTTCAACTCGATGGCCAACTCGTTGATGATATCGTTCATCGAGATGTCTGAGTTAATTGATTTCAGATTAGTCGTCGTTGAGCTAATACTTCCAGTAGCCTTACTTACCATCGATGGCTAAAATTTACAACAACAACAACAACAAAATAGTTGTTATAAACAACTTATCGGTAATTATTTTAAATGTCAATCAATTTTTTTTACCGATTCTTTGCGAATCAAACTCTTCATTCGACTTAAGTCGGCATCAATAAGAAGAGTCAAATGATGGTAACTGTTGTGAGCGCCGATACGGCTGGCAGTACCCGATATCTTGTGTCCGCTGGCGGCCACTACCAGATCTTCGCGACTATTGATCCGTAAATCAATGTCAAACTTAGTGGCCATCACTTTCTGCAGGCGAACCAAATTACCTAAACGATTGTAGCGACTCTTGTGGCCAATAAAACTGATATTCAGATTCTGTAAATCGTGATAAACAGTTCCGCCGCCGCTATTTCGGCGGACAACTTCAACGCCGTTGGCCAGACATCTGCCGACATGGACTTCGCGCCACGGATTCTGATGTCGGCCGACGACTACGGCCGGTCTGTTGCGCCACAACAACACTACCGATCGATTGGTCAGATCCGAGTTACGATAGATCCAGTCTTCGAGAGCCAGATTAGCGAAGATGTTGTCACTGCGCGAGACTAAGACATCGACAGCCAGCTGTTGTTGTTGTTGTTGTGGTTGTGGTGGTAGCCGTTGGCCACCGATTGTCAGACCATCGCTTGTTAGACATCGATGTTGTTGTTGTTGATGTTGTCGGGTATGCAGTGGCCATGTCTTCAGTGATGATCCAGACGACCAATGATTCAATAAATGATAAGATCTTTGACAGAAACCAATTGATGGTTTCAGTGTCTTCATTGTCATCAATAACAATGTCTTTTCATTCAATTACCGCAATTGTCCACTAATTTTACCGCCGATTTTTTTTTCATGACATTTGAATACTATTTTTTAAAAAATAAAATAAAATATTTTTCTTTATTATTAATAATAATTATTATTTAATATATTGTCTATCAATACATATTGAAAATATATTAAACAATTTAATAATTATCATATGATTTGATAAATAACTGTTTGTTTCAAATAAAAAACAAAATCACAATTTAATTACACATTTAATTCATCAAAAAAAAAATTAATAACAATTTGTTTAAAAAAAACAATAACACATGTCTATCACGTGACTATTGTTTAGATACTATTATTATAAGAGAAAATTATTTTATTTTAATTTATTTTTTAAATTAAATTTAAATTTGCCGTTAATTTTCCCAAACATTTATTTAGATTATTATATAAAAATATATATATTTAAAAAAAATTTAACCTAGTATAGTTTATGAATTTTTATTCAAGTTATAATATTTGAATTTTATAGTTATTTATACTGTAATAAAAAAATACAGTAATAATAATAATAAATAGTCAATAGATGTCACATAACATACAATAATATATATTAATACATACAACGCGTGCTTTAAATACATAATAACAATATGTTTTTTGGATAAAACAAAAAATGTTATTAAAAATAATTAAATACAAAAAAAAATTTATACAATAAAAATGTATTAATAATAATAATAATAATAAATATTTATTAATATCAATGATATGTAACAATCATTATTATGTAATAATAATAATAATCAATAGTTTTTTTTTTTTGAAAAACAACTAATCATTTAATTTTTAAATATATTTATTAATTTATAGTCAAAATTGTTTTAAATTTATAAATCATTAAAACAAAATTGTTGATCACTTTTATTATTAATCAATCATATCATCAAAAAAAAAAAAAAAAAAAAAAATTGTCCATAAAATTTGATCCCAAGTAATAAAAACCAATCAAAAAAAAAAAAAATATGTCTAACGATTGTAGAAATAGTTTGTCAAAGATGTCGATGAAAGACAACGACAACGACGACAACAACATCAGTGGTTTAGACGATAATAATGAAGAACAAGAACTAGAAGAAGAAGATGAAGACACTAAAGAAGAAAAGTTTGTCGAAGTATTGGACGTCAAAAAAGATAAGTTAAAGTTTACGGAAGAAGTTTTCAAGAAACAGGTCCCCCAATTGGCCAAACAGTTTCCGTTTTCGTTGGACGTCTTCCAGATGCAGGCCATACGACATCTTGAGCGGCGACACAATGTGTTTGTTGCCGCCCATACGTCGGCCGGCAAGACAGTAGTGGCCGACTATGCCATTGCGATGGCCTTCCGTGACCAGTGTCGGGTCATCTATACGTCGCCGATCAAAGCCCTGTCCAATCAAAAGTACAGAGACTTTAAGCGAGAGTTCACGGATGTCGGCCTTCTTACAGGTTTTTTTCATTGATTGATCCATCACTTTGATTGGCTGAAGACTAACCCAATGGTTATATAATCTCTTTTTGTTGTCTAACTATTTCTCAGGTGACGTCCAAATCAATACCGAATCCAAGTGTATGATAATGACTACCGAAATACTATTGCAAATGTTATACAATTCGTCCGAAATGGTCAACGAACTCGAGTACGTAATCTTCGACGAGTGTCACTATGTAAACGATCCGGAAAGAGGTCATGTCTGGGAAGAGGTGTTCATTATGTTACCGAAACATTGTAAACTGGTACTACTAAGCGCTACGGTTCCCAATGTTGTCCAATTTGCCGACTGGTTAGGTCGTATTCGGCGGGAAAAAACATACGTAGTGTCCACTTACGAACGACCCGTTCCGCTCGAACACTATCTGTATGTTGGCCGCGACGGTAAAAGTAAACATTCAAGATTTATGATCATCGACGGCAAAGGCAACTTCCAGAAGGACAACTACAAAGAGGCCGAACAGGCGATGACGGACTACAAGAAACGATACGGTTTTATCAAACGATGTCAACAAACCGAGACAAACATCTATTTGAATCTGATTCGGCATTTGCACGAAAAAGACAAATTGCCGGCCATTTTCTTTACCCTATCGCGTAACCGATGCGACTCTAATCTCGACAATCTGATGGCTATCAAAGAGTCGTTCAATTTGATCGACCGGAAAGAAGAGTCGCGTATTCATGGATTCATTCACAAACACCTGAGACGGCTGCCCGACTGCGACCAAAAGTTGCCGCAAATTCAAAAGTGTGTCCAAATGCTGAAAAAAGGTTTAGGTGTTCATCATTCGGGTGTATTGCCGCTAATGAAAGAGATGACAGAGATATTGTTTTCCGATGGTCTAATCAAAGTACTGGTGGCCACTGAAACATTTGCAATGGGCGTCAATATGCCGGCCCGTACTGTCGTTTTCGATTCAATCGAGAAACACGACGGCACTCAACGTCGCGATCTATTGTCATCGGAATACATTCAGATGGCCGGCCGAGCCGGTCGTCGAGGCAAAGATGACAGCGGAACTGTTATCATACTATGCAAGTACGACATTCCCGATTCGCCAATATTGACTAATCTGATCCAGGGATCGGCTACGAAATTGGTGTCGAAATTTCGACTAACCTATCATATGATATGTAATCAACATAAAAGTTCGGCCGACAGTGGCGGCAAAGATGGCGAAGACGAGACCGGCGATGAAGGTATCGAAAAGTTTTTGGAAAGATCTTTTGGCGAACATAATCGTCACAAACAATCAAACGATTTGAATCAACAGTTGGATTCGCTTAGGAAACAGTTTGACGACCAATTGGCAACCATTGACCGATGCGACCAGTGTTCAGACATCGAAGTCTTCTACCAGTGCTACGATAATTATGTAGAAAGTTTGCAGACAATTATGCCGACCATCTGCCAGAAAGCACTGGAAAAAGGACGACTAACCAGTGGACGTGTTGTGGCCATCGATAGTGTGACCGCTAACGCTCCCACCGCCACCGCCACCAATGGTCGACCGAAAAATCCGTTTGATTACGCAGTAGTATTGATGGCCAATAAAAGCAAAACCAATAGTTTAGTTTCAACGCTAAAAGTCTTGTCGCTCGCCGGCGACGACAGCTTTGAATACAAGACTATTGATGTCGGATCTGTTCATAAAATATTGAACAAACAAATCAAAGCCAAGTCTATCGACGTGAGAGCCATTGTCGATGAAAATGAAAACTCCAGAAACAAATACAAATCAAAAGACGAAACACTGATGGTTATCGAAAAACTAAGACAACTGTCACTACCGGATAACTATCAGATTTTGAACGTGGAATCTATTGATCCGAAAACTAATCTGCAAATCAAAGATATCGATTCAGTGGAAAAGATCAACAGATATCTGGATTTATCAAATAAATTGGTGACATTCGAGTGTATCAAATGTCCGACATTTGTCAAACATTTTGATAGTATAGTAAATAAGATGACACTCCGGAAGCAAATGGATGAAATTGATTATAAACTATCGTCCGAAAGTCTTCAGTTTCTACCAGAATATGGTACACGACTGAAGGTATTGGAATCGTTGGATTATATCAATCAATATCATCGGCTAGAATTGAAAGGTAAAATGGCGTGTCTTATGTCCGAACACGAGCTGGTTATCTGCGAAATGTTGACCCGAAATGTTTTGGGAAACGCATCCCATGAATCCGATCTCAATCATCAAGAGATTGCGGCTCTTATGTCCGGTTTTGTCTATCAATCCAATGCCGTCGCCGACGACGACAAAATTGCCGAAGATTTCAAATGGAGTCCAAAACTCAGAGAGGTTTGTCATCTGTTTGTTTTTAAGATATATTTTTTAATATTATTGTTGAAATTTTTCAGAAATATAACGAAATAAAGGCCATCGAGTGTATGATTAGGTTGCGTGAGCGTGACTTCCAGGTGCCCGACCAGGCCATCAACTCTGAGCTTAACTTTGGATTAGTTAAAGTCATCTACGAATGGGCTAATGGAAAGGTATGTATCGTTTAATAATATTAACAATAATATCGTAATTTATCGCTAAGTTTTACTAATCAATTGCTTGTTTTATATATATATATATATATATATCAATCAAATATATGTCCAGTCGTTTATCAATGTAATGGAAGAGTGTGTCGTCCAGGAAGGCATAATCGTCCGGTGCATTCAACGATTGGATGAACTGTTAAAGTTTGTCAAATTGGCGGCCAAAATGATGGGCAACGATATACTGGAAAAACTCATAGAAGAGTCGTCGAAATCTATCCGAAGAGATATTGTCTTCTTTCCCAGTCTTTATACAAGCGATGACAACAACGATAATGACAACAACAACGATGAGGACAATGTCGTCATCGATGCTAATAACGAAAATCTTAGCTTTAATTTTGTTTAACAAATAACAACAACAACAAAATGATTACAATTTAACTATTTATTAAATATATATATATTTGTAAATGAGAAACAAAAATAATAATAATAATAATGTATGAAATGTTTAATTAATTTGATTTGATTTGTGTTTTATATGTTTTATATATATATATATATATATTATTTACAACAACAACAACAAAAACAATCCATACAGACATATAATTTTGAATTATTTTTTTTTTTATTTTTTTTAACTAAATATGAATAATCATGATTTTTATTTTTTTTTTAAATATTAAATTTATTAAATAACTTTTTTTTATGATGATGATGAGAGGAAATGATATATAAATATATATATATATATTTTAATTGTATTATTTATTTTTATAATTACAATAATAATAATAATAAATGCCATTTTAATTATGCTTAACGATAGGATCAAAGTCTAACACCAGTAATAATTATATTATTATTATTATTATTATATATATTTAAAAAAATAGAAAATATTTTTTTCTAACAAAAACATTACAAAAAATTTTACCTTTTTTTTACGTTAATATATATTATTTTTTTTTTTAAATGTTTTTATACTAAAACAAAATTATTTAATGTCATTTAAAAAAAAAATGTTTATATATTGAATTAGTATTGAAAATATATTTTCTCTTATTTATTATTTTTATTTTTAGTACAAATTGTAGACTTGTTTAATACAATGTGTATACTTGTATTGACTTGAAAATTGTTATCATCAAAAAAAAAAAAAAAATTTAATATACATAGGAATCGCTAAATATTAGTTATACTATAACTATAACTATTAATTGGTGTTAAAAATAATTTATCAACAAAAATAATAACCGTTGACTACTATCAAAAAAACCAAACCAACCAACTAACCAACCAACAAAAATAAATTTTATTAAACTTTTATTATCAACACTAAAAAAATAACTACAGTAAAGTTTCATTTTGTGTGCCATATTATTTATCACTAAAAAAATTAATTAATTAATATGTGAAATGAAATTATAATTATGACTCTTGATTATTAATATTATTACTAATTTTTTTTCTCCTATATGGTACACACTATTAGTAATAATAATAATAAGTGAATGTTATAATTATTATAATAATTATTGTTGTTTAAGTGGATATAGATATCTATTTATATATATATATATTATTTTATAAGGGAGTGTACGCCTAATATTTAAGGCCCCCTAACTTAGTAGTAATGTCCGGTTTGGTCAAACTTGGTGTGCCTTTGGTTAGCTAATTATATTATTATTTTTATTTATAAATAATTTTATTAAATAATTAAATTAATTTAATTTTTTGTTTGTTTCAACTATATATATATATATATAGGATAGGCTTAAATATTTGAGTATGTATTTAATTATTTTTAAAAAAAAACTTTATTTTGATTTATATACAATAATTTGTTGTTAATTTTAATTTAATTTTTGTTTTATTTTTTTAAAAATCAAATTAATCTAGCTAAAATCAAAGCTGTTACAATTGATGATCTGGTATTTCGATTGCATTATAGATTTACATTTACAGCAATTTTAGTTGTTAGGTAAGTTTGCTTTGTATTTATTTGCTAAATTAATTTTCACTTAATTTTTTAACAATTTTTAAAACAATATTTAACTATTAAATATTTTTTTTTAAAATATATAATTAATAGGTTATTAAAAATGTTAAAAATTAACTATTTAGCTAGTTTGAACTTTTTTTTATGAATAATAATTTATTTTCTAAAAACATTAAATTAGTTCCAATAATAATAATAATAATAATAATAAATTTAGTTAAATTGTTTATAACTTATTTAATTATAATTTACATATATTTTGTTGTACATTATCATCATAATTGTGTTTAATTTAGATTTAGATATGTCTAAAAAAAATTGTATAAAAATATTAAAATTTTAGAAAATTGTATTATAAATAGATATTCTAAAACAATATAATTAATTATTTTTTTTTATAAAAAAGTATATTATTATTGTAATTATTTTTTTATTATTATAAATAATATATAGTATTTTGATAACTGGTGAACAATTTTTCGGCAAACCTATCAAATGTATAAAAGGTATTAAATTTTTTTTTTTGTAATTTATATATTGAAATAATTTATTTTTCAAACAAAAAAATCCATTAATTAATCTGATTTGTAATTTATAATATCTATTTGATAACTGATTTTACATTTCGATAATTTTATTATTATTATCATTATTATCATTTAGGTGCCGGTGCTGAAGTACCTGAAAAACTAATTGAATCATTTTGTTGGGTCAGTTAGCTTTTTGTTATTATTATTATTATTATTATTATTTAATTATCGACAAAAAAAATCTAATCGTTTGGCAATTACAGGTCGAGGGAACCTTTACTCTACCGAAAGCCCTAATTAAAGGTATTATATTATATATATATATATATAAATTATTGATTTTATTTTAACCAATTTTTTTTGTATAATCATTTAGCTATCGATAAGGAGATACCGGCGCCAGGAGTGGAACAGTTCTATGAAAAAGATGAAGTTCTTGAGCACTCGTATTATCAATGGGTAAATCCATAGACAAGCATACAGACAATTGAGAGACAATTTGATTTTTTAATTAAAAATTTTCAGTAATTTTATATTAATTAAATAAAAAATAATTATTGTTTTTCTTTATAAACAAAAAATAGGTTTCTCTGGTTTTGTTTCTCCAGTCGCTATGTTTTTATATAACTCGATATCTTTGGAAAAAATGGGAAAAAAGTAATAATTATTAATTTAATTATAATTTAATTTATTAATAATTTAATTATTAATTTAAACAACAAAAAAAAAATAATAGACAAAATCAAAGGCTTGATTAGCGGTTTGAATAAAGTAATCCTAGAGAAGAATGAAAAGATAAAAACTTGCGAAGGTTTGGCCAAACGGTTGGTCGACACCCGAGGAAAATATAATGCCTACGCTTTCCGCTATTTCATCTGCGAAGTACTCAACTTTCTCATTGTTATACTTCAGATGGTATATAAAAAGTGTTTTATTAATTAAAAGTTTTGATTTTATTCAATAAATTGATTTTTATTTTTATTTAATAGGTATTTATCAATTGGTTTCTCGGTGGCGAGTTTGCCCGTTACGGTATCAATGTATTGAATTATATTGACCGAGACCCGAACCTATCGGAAGATCCCATGTCCCGGGTATTCCCGAAGCTAACTAAGTGCACATTCAGGCAATTTGGTCCATCCGGTGATATTAAACGGTATATATGTATATCCTATCTATATATAGCCAATATATTTATAATAATAATTATAGTATTATTATTCAATACAATTTAAAATTTCTAATATTTAATTAATTTTTTGTTTGTTTTATAATTAAAATTTTCAATTAATTTAGTTTCGATAATCTATGTCTACTTCCGCATAATATACTCAACGAAAAAGTTTATATTGTATTGTGGTTTTGGTAAGTGTTTTCTGTTTGGATTAAAAATTACCGATAAATTTGTTAAAATTATTAATTTTTTGTTATATATCTATATTTATATATTTAAGGCTCTATGTGTTGGTCATAGCATCGGGACTTATGGTCTTATATCGGCTAATTATAATGGCTTTCCCACAAAGTCGTTATTATCTATTGCATAAATTGCATCATTTAGGTATATAAATATATATATATATACCGGTATATATTGTATATTAATATAAAAATTATTGTATTATTTTATTTATAGAAAGTATTATTATTATTATTAATAATTTGATTGATTTGATTTTATAATTTGATTTTTATCTATTATGATTAAAATCTAGATTTTTTTTTAAAAATAGAAATAATTATAATTTAATTACCAAATTGTTTTTTTTCTATTATTTTAACAGTTCAACCAAAACATTTTGATACAATTATAACACATTATAGTTATGGTGATTGGTTTGTATTATTTTTGGTATGTATTGGTATTTATTTATTTTAAAATACTAGTAATTATTGTTTTGTTAACTAAATTTATTTTAATATTTTTGATTTTTTAAATTTTGTTTTAATTTGTATCACAAATAGTTGGGCAAAAACCTGGATTGTATGCACTATAGGGATGTAATTGAAGAGATTAGCAAACGATTGGACAATACCGGCGATGAAGAAGAGCCGCTACAGAATCACTACAACGACGATGAATACGACGCCTCCGAAAGCAAAGTCTAAGACAATAACCACAAAAAAATCATTTATTTTTCGGTCATTTTTTTAGGAAAATTTTAATCAATTTTTTTTAACAAAAAAAAAGTTTATTTTTGTGTGTTATTTTGTGTATTGTTATTGTCATCAACAAAAAATATTATTATTATTATTATTATTATTATCGATATATTATATAATAGGATTGTACTGTATAAGTGTGTTATGCTATTTAAATGATTTAAATTAACTAATTTTTTTAATAATAAATAATTAAATTCTGTAATTAATAATTTTAAAAAATACTAATTATTAGAATAATAATAATAATGTCATAATAATCATCTTTTTTTTAAAAAAAAAATCAAATTTTTAATTATGATATGTAATTTTTTTTTAAAAAATAAATTTTCTAATAAAAAACAATTACAATAAATTTATAAACATTTATGCAATATATTAATTATGAAAATTCAAAAAATTGAATGTATAATACATTAGATGTTTAAACTTTATATTTAATTTTTTAAAAATAATAAACTAGGTAATTGTTTATATTTATAAGTCATTATCATATTATAATAATGTTAATATTATATTTAAATTTGGATATTATTGATATATTATATCTAATTTGAATTTTTTAAATTATTTTATTATTTTTATTATAAAGTTATATTCAAAATGTAATTTGATTTTAAAATGCTATTTTTAATTTTTAATTTTTCATATTAATTATAATAATCATACAGTATATTCATATTAATTTATTATAAATATGTATATATATTGTTTAATTGTTTATTTTAAGATCATATTTAAAATTATCATATTATTATTATTATAGTGATTAATAATAAATGATATGATATTTTATAATTATTGATTGCACTAATACTAATGCTAAATATTGATAATGTAATTATACTGTATATTAAAAATGTTTTACATTATTAATAATATACTGTAATTTTATATATAATTATAGTATAATTTAATTGAATATTTATATCTATTAAAAATAGTTTTAATTCAATTTATAAATTTATTTTAATTATTTATGGCTGATAATTTGAAATTGTTAAAATTAATTTTAATAGTAATAATAATTTAGATATAAAAACATTAATTGTTAAGATTTTTATAT